GTTTCATCACGTGATCCTGCTCTGGCGAAGCCCAGCGGGCGTGGACACCGCACACCGCGCAGCTGCCAAGGGCCCGAGCCCAAAAGCCAGGGGCTATCATGTGACCAGGGCTGGCCAATCAGAACACAGAGCCATCCTGCTGCAGAGATGCATGTGACCAGAGCTGGCCAATCAGAGCACAGAACCATCTCACCACAGAGACCCATGTGACCAGAGCTGGCCAATCAGCGCATAGAACCATCCCGCCACAGAGACACATGTAACCAGAGCTGGCCAATCAGAGCACAGAACCATCTCGCCACAGAGACCCATGTGACCAGAGCTGGCCAATCAGCGCATAGAACCATCCCGCCACAGAGACCCATGTGACCAGAGCTGGCCAATCAGAGCACAGAACCATCCTGCATGTGCTGGTCCAAGGACGTTCAGTTGCAAGCTTGACCTGCGACGAGCGGGTGGGCTGGTTCTGCTGCAGGCTGCTCGAAGGCCAGCTGACCGCAGGGGCAGGAGTGGCATCTGGCCCCCTGGGGAGAGGAAGCAGCTGGCCTGCTCAGCCCGGGGAAGGGCACGCTGCGGAGCGCCCGGCTGCAGCCACCCTGCGGCTGCTCTGCCTTTGGGTCGATCGCCTGCCCCAAAATTTATTCCTCTGGTTCTTCCAGCGCGGGCGCGCTGCTCGCCGGGCCGGGCCATCTGGGTCTTCTCTGCTGCGCTCCTTTCTTTCTTACCTCGTTGCACGTTTTCATCATCGAATCTTATGTTCCTGTCAAGTGTTTCTGGCACATCCGTTGAGATCCTGGTGTTTTTGCCCTCGGAGCTGCTGCAGCGGGGGCTGCGGCTGAGTCTTCCCCGAAGCTGCCGCGAATCTCCTCGGCCGTGGAACACTGAGTGGAGCTTGCTGGTGTTTTGTTGAGGCGCTCTGCGTGGCTATTCATCAGGGACATTGCCTCGTGGCGCAGGAAAAGAATTTTCTCTGTTGTGTCTGTCTTTGTACCGCTCCGGTATCAGAGTCATGTTGCCTCATCAAAGGCAGTGGGAAGTGTCCGCTCCCTTTGATTTGGGGAGACTCGGAGCGGGATTGGCATGAATTCCGCTTTAAATGCCTGGCGCCAAAGGTCCCAGGCTGTTCTGCATTGGAGATGCCAGCCAGCACCCGGGGTCGGCTCCCACGTGTCCCTGGGCTCAGCTGGGAGGACTGTGTGTAGGGACTGTCCAGCCCTCCGGGCTGCCCCGTCGGCATGACCCTCGGTGCTCCTCTGGGACTGTAATAACCCCGTCTGCCTCTGCTCTTGGTCGAGTCTCCGTTTCTTTCTGTCAGTCTAGCAAAAGTCTTGTCAGTTTATCTTTCAAAAAAAACGTAATAAAAGACCACCCCAAGTTCGGTTCCGGTGTTGCGTTTGCTGCCCAGAACGTCCCTTCTGCTCTGCCCCGAGCCTCCGCTGCTCCTTGTCCGGTGCCTGGAGGTACGTGGGCAGCTTCTGGCCCTTTGTCTGCAGAGCGAGTGCCTGTCACCAGCCCCCTTCCCCCTCCTCCGGCTGCTCTGTCTGAATCCCCTAACCTTCGCTGTGCCATGCTTTTATTTTCATTAGTCTCAAGACAATTTCTAAATCCTTCGCTTGGTTTTCTGCCCTGCCGGTCTGTTACAAGTGCGGATTAGATCCTGGGTTTGATCCCTGGCAGCGCACAGCCTCCGGAACATCTGGGCGCCCCAAGCACCAGCAGATGTGGGTGTCCGAGGAGCAGAGAGGCGCTGCTCCCCTGTACCCCAGCCTGGCTGCCAGCGCTGCGGGGGGGGGGGGGGAGGGACAGCCCTGAGTCCTGCATCTGAAGTGCTACCTCCCCACACCTGCCTCCTGGGCCAGAGGAAAATCAGCTGGAACTCGCGCTAACCCTTCCATCCTCCCCTGCTGACAGGATGTGAGCAGAGGGGGCGGGTAGAGTGAGGGGCTGGGAGGGGCTGGATCCTTCCAGCTGTGTCAGTGAGCTGGGAGCCCCACCACAGTCGGTGATGCCAGAACCCTTCCCCCGCTCCCCCGACCCCCCCCCCCCTGCACCTCACACCCCTGAGCTCCCTGCACTCACCTTGTGCCCAGGAGCAGGCCAGGCACGGCTGTGCTCCCAGCGCCCTGGTCGGACCCCCGCTTCCCAGGCAGGAACCCGACAGGACTTGAGGTCCTGGGGCCTTGCTGGCCGCGGCCCTGGGCCCAGAGGAGGCGCCTCCTGCCCAGGGACTTCCAGTGTGCTCCCGGGAACTCCTGGAACCAGACGGGGGTTGGTCCCCCACAGGGGGACACACCCTCAGCACTACATGCCCTCACCAGTCATTGACAGCTGCCGCTGCAGCCCCAGCCTGCAGAGAGGGGGATGGGAGGCATGCTTCCCCGGGAGTTCAGCTCTGGGCTTGCCTGGGGGAGACAGACCTGAGCAGGGCAGGGCGGGACCCCATGCCATCTTCCCCTGGAGCAGAGACCCAGTCCTGGGGTGCTCCCAGCGGGGTCTGCAGTGTCAGGCTCCCCGATTCCGCTCCCAGGATCCCCTGGCTCTCATGGCAGCTCCCATAGGGCGAGGAACACACACCCCTCGGGGCTGCCTCGGGGGCCCCCTGAAGCACAGCCACGGGCCCAGCTGGTGCCTGTGGCCAGTGCCCCTGAGTGAGCGTGTGACACTGCAGAGCCCGCAGACAGGGCCAGGCTGGACACAGCAGCGTCTCCTTCCCCGGTCCCCCGCGAACCCCCTCTGTGCCCCTCAGCTGAGGCCAGGCCTGCTACCTGAAGCGGGGAGGGGGCTTTGGGGGCCCAGGGAGTCCCCCTCTGCTCCGGGGGTCAGCTGCAGCCACATTGGCTCCCAGCATTCTCTCCTTCCTTACGTCTGGAATGTTCCAGAAAAAAAAAAAGAACAACAAAAGCTATCTGCATTTCAGCTGTCCTGCTGGCTAGAAAGTGTCCTTCTGTGCCCGGGAAGCAGGAGCTGGGCCCCTCCCCAAGCCACAGCAGCAATCCTGGTCCCAGAGAGGCCGGAGGGGCTTCTGCTGAGTGCCTGAGGGCCACAGGCCAGCTCCCGGGGTTCCAAGGCCAGGGAACAGGGAGGAGGTGCCCCTCTCCTCCTGGGGTCCCCAAGCCCGTGGGGCCCCTCCGCGCACTGCCCAGGGAAGGTGCCAGTCTAGCCAGCTGACGCCCTCTGCTGGTGACCCTGGCAGCGGCCACCCCGGGCCCTGCTGCCTGTGCCTGGGCGGCGCACAGCCGAGCGAGCACTTCGGATGCGGGCCTGGAGCGGGAGCACCCGGCCTGCGCCCCTCCTGGCGTGTCCCGAGGACCCTCGGTGCCCACCTGCAGAGCCGCCCAGGCCGCAGAGGGCGGGGGACAGTAGAGGTGGGGGCGGCCTGGCAGTGTGTGGGCGTCCCCGGCGCCACCTGCAGGCGCCCGGCGTGGGCACATCAGGGCGCAGCTGTGCCCGCGGCTCCCAGGGCAGGTGGCTGGCGGCACCCGCGTCTCCAGCTACAGCAAGGGGGCCGGGACCCCACTTCGCCGAGGCTTGTCTGCAGGGGGGTGATCTTGACAGGCCCCCCCCCCCCGGTTTGCACACTGCCCGCGTGAACCTCACCCGAGAGGGGGCGGGAGGGAGAGGCTAGAAGGCTCTGGGGTGCCGCGTCCCACGCCTGCCCAGGGCTCCCGGGACACCAAGCAAGGGACCAGCAGGGGCTGTGCGAGCTGGGGCAACCGGCCACGAGCTCCCAGGAGATGTCCAGTTGCAGACGCAGGACACCAAGAGTGGCCTTGCCGTGGGAGGCAGGGTAGAGCCTGGGCGCCCTCTGCCTTGCACAGCCCGAGGACAAGGCTGTCCCCGGCCTGCTCTGGCCACCACGCGGCCCCGCGGACCCCCAGGGCTGGGAAGCGATAGGCTGCAGCGGTGGGCACACAGCTCCCAGGCCGGACCCCTGGGTGCCCTGCGGGGAGAGGCCAGGGAGGGAGTCAGACGCACTTTCCCCGCACAGCCCGTGGCCCTGCTGGACCCCCGTCCTGGGCTCTCGGTGGAGGGACTGCAGGCCCCTCCTGAGATCCAGCCTCGGGGAGCAGGGGAGAGACAGCACCACCTCACTGCCCTTCCAGGCACCCCAGGGCCCAGCACATTACACCCGGGAACAAGCACCGAGGGACAGGGGGACACGGACTGACGGGAGACAGAGGGGCAGGGAAGCACTGCTCAGGGAGCAGCGTGTGGGCATGACAGGACAGTCCCCTGGTGTCACTCTCTGGAAGCCAGGGCCCTGAGCGCTGAACGGGATGCACAGGGGACCCCCACCAGAAGGGACCGGTCAGCACAACCGGGGGTGTGAAGGGGCACAGGGTCGGGCCTTGAGCTCGGGCTCCCGAGAAGGAGCTCCACGTGGATTTGGGTGGGTCTGTGCAGGAACGCTCAGGACCCCAGAGAGGCTGGCCTGTCCCCTGTCCACATGGGGCTGGGGGGGGGGGGGGAGAGGGGGTGCGCGGTGTTAGGGCAGGTCCCAGCGTCCCCCCTACCGGGCTGGACTTTCCGTCCCTCGGCCCAGCCCTGCCTGCCGGGTTCTGGGCACAGACCTCCGCCGCGCCAAGACAAAGAAAATCTGAAATATCCGCGCAAACAAAATCACTTTTCTCTAAACCTTCCAGGCGGGGTGGGGGTGGGAAAAACCCCCAAAGCGCTCAGAGACGCGGACGGGGTCCGTCTTTCGGGGGCGGCGCGGCGAGGGCCCCCAGTTCGGACCCGCCCACCGGGGCAGCCGCAGCCCCCGCCCCCGGCCCCCGAGCAGGAGGCGCGGCGCCCCCCACCCCGGCCTCCAGGGCGCCCCGGGCCGCGGGCGGCTCGCGGGCGGGGCCGGAGCGGAGCCGGGCGCGGCGCGCGGGCGGGCGGGTGGGCGCGGCGGGCGGGGGGCGCGGGCGGCGGGCGGGCGGGCGCGGCGCCTTTAAGGGCGCGCGGCGGCGGCGCGCGGGGCGGGCCGGGGGCGGGCCGGGCGGCGGCACCTGCAGTTGCGCGCGGGCCGGCGGCGGGCGCGGGGCTGCGGCTGCGGGAAGATGCGCGCGGGCCGGGGCGCGGGCCGGGCGGCGCTCGTGCTGCTCGCGCTGCTGGGCGCGCTCGGGGTAGGCGGCGGCGGGGCGCGGGCGCGGGAGGGGGCGCGGGCCGGGGGCGCTGTCCGGGGGCGCGGGGCCGGGGGGCGCGGGGCGCCGTCCGGGGGCGCGGGGATCGGCTGTCCGGGCCGGGGTCTCCCGCCGGACCCCGGCGAGGGGCGCGGGGCTCCCGGCGCGCTCGGCCCGGGGCGGGCGCAAACTTTGGCTGCCCGCGCCCCCCGGAGCTCTCCAAGGGGCCAGCAGGCGCGGGCGCTCCGCTCCGGGGCCCGGGGAGGAGACGGCGCGGGGCCGTGCGGGCTGCGCCCCCCCCCCAGCTCCTCCTGGTGCTCCCGCCCGGTGCTCCGCCCGGTGCTCCTCCGCCCGGCCCGGCGCCCCCGCCCAGGTGCGCCCCGCGCGCGCCCGGGAACCCCGCGCACGCCTCCCCCTGCCGCCGCCTCCTCTCCGGCCCCCCGCTGCCCGCTGCCCCGCCAGGCCGGGCCTCGGGGACCACGTGTGAGACAAACAGGTGGACGCCCTCCGCGGAGCCCCCGGCCCTCCCGCCGTGCCCGGCGCCCGTGCCAAGGGCCCGCCCCCCAACTTGAGGTCCCCAGGGACCGCGCGCCCCGGGCCGGCGTGTCCCTTTCCGCGGGCCTGAGCTCCCTCCTTGCTTCCAGGCGCGTCCCGGGGACCTGGCGGCGGCGGCGGGCGCCTGCAGGACCGGCTTCTCGGCAGAGGGTTACTCGGCCTTCGTCTCCCCGCACGTTCTGGAAGGCGAGAAGCTGCTCAAAGGTAGGGCGGAGCCTGCAGGGCTGGCCCGGCTCTGTGGCCGCGGCTGGGCGGGGTGGGGGCCGGCGTGGGACCCCCCACGGCGCCGCCCGCGGGCTCCCAGCCCCTGTCATTTGGTGCCTGTTCTCCTGGCAACAGCCAGAATTTGCATGGACCATCACCCGAATGCCGAGCAGATAGCGGCCGGGCGCCCAGGGGGTCCGTGTGCAAGCGGCTGGGGTGGGGGTGTGGGGGCATGGTCCTGGGCTTCCCCTCGGCCACGCGTCCTGATGCCTGCTCCCCCGATGCCCGTCCAGCGGGCCTGTCCCTGCTGCCGGCATGCTGACCAGCCTCGCTTGCTTCTGGTTATGAAACCAAGAGCAGAGTTTTGTGCCGGTCTGGTTTCTCTCTCCTCTGCCTGTTTGTCGGGGATGGGGGGTTCCACTTCTCACGGACCTGCCCCCCACCTCAGTCGCCCCGGCCTTGGCTCGTGGGTCTGTGCGAGGGTGAGTGGGACCCGGCGCCCGTGGGGCTGGCAGGGTGCTGTGTGTGTGGACGAGCTAGTCTCCCGCCGCCCAGCACGGGGCTCAGGACGGAGCTGAAAGGCTGCAGTGTGGCCACATGTGCCTGGCTGAGTGACCCGGGCTGTCCACTCCCAGTGGCCCTGCTCCTGGTGGCCGGGGGGACACGCCCACTGGTGGTTACTGCCGTGGCCTCTGTGGCCAGATGGGCTGTGACAGGCTCGTCCCGAGGGGTTCAGGTCTGGGCGCAGGGGGAGCCAGGCTGCCTGACAGGCGGGCATCTCCCAGGCCTTGCCCGGCTCTCTCGAGGTGACACTCAGGGACACTGACAGGACCTACTCAGCCCGTGGACGCACCCACTGACGGGTGCCACGCTCCGACCGAGGTCCCGCTGCGGAGAACCACCAGCTACCAGGCGTGGAGGGCACGGGGCCTGGCGGTGTCTCTGCCACTGTCGTCTGTGGAGGGAAGTCACTGCTCACGGCTCCCCGTAGCCGAGTCCCTGGCACGAGAGCCAGTGCCGGCCTGCATCTAGGGGACCTTCCTGCATGTGGCCGACTCAGCCCTGCGGCCCCAGCTCCCGGGTTCCAGAGGAAAGATCTGTTACGCAGTAATTAACTTGTTTGTGATAAATGGACGGGAGAAATGTCGTGGCATTTTGTTTTATGTCTAAATGGAAAGCATTTGTATTCTCAAAATTTCATGGTAATTAGGCTTAAAATCATTTTCCCCAGTAGGGCAGCAGGTAGCATGGACCCCTACCCCACACTCACGGAGAGAGGCCTGCCGCCGGCCGTCACAGCAGACGGTGTCCCGGGCAGGGGTGGCAGCGTCCTGTGCCTGGCTGTCACCGGGATGTTTGGGGCCTTGTGTCAGGAGGGCGGGAAGGGGTCTCCCCATCCACCCGGACAGGGAGAGGGTCTGGCACAGAGTGTGGCCGGCAGCTGAGGGCTTGCCAGTCTCGTGGTGTGACCAGGGACCCCGGCCTCATGCACATGTGGACAGTCCCTGGGGGCTTGGGGGTGTCACCATCCCTGCGGGGTTGGGCGTTGTCACCAGGCAACCGTAGGTCGCCGAGCAGGTGGGTGCTGGTGGCACCCGGCAGCCGACTGTGCCCCGTGGGGCCCCGAGAGTCGGGGTGTCCCGGCCAGGAGGTGCTCGCAGCCCCGTTACGGAACCCCCCGGGGCCTTTGCGCCAGCTGGTCTCGGAGGGGCGCCCTTGCCCGGGCAGGTCAGCTGCTCTGCCCAGGGCCCCCCGAGGCAGCGGGCAGAGACTTTGGGCTGCAGCTCCCGTGGCACGTTCCTCCTGCCGGGTCGGACCCCTTCGTGTGGGCACTCCTAGGGGCCAGGGCAGCGTCTGGCCACTGCACTGGATGCTGCCCCGTGCTGGGCGAGGAGCTCGGGACAGTGCCGGCCCGGAGCCCTCAGCCTCTTTCCTGTCCTGGGGCCTCACTCCCAGGTCCCCACACTGACCATCCTGCCTGTACCTGGACGCTGTCCCCGTGCCCTGCAGGGCCCCCTCACCTCCTCTGGGTCAGCGGAACGCCCCCCCACCTGACCCTGAGCCCTGACCCCACCCCTGCCGTCTGAGGGAGCTGACGGGAGCCTCAGCTGGGCCCCCAGGACCCCAAGTCTTCTCGCGCAGCCCCTGGCCCGGGAGGGTGCGCATGGGGCGGGAGCACTGGGCCCAGGGCTGTGTGGGACGGGGCGGGGAAGGCAGGTGTCGCTGCGGAGGGCCGCCGCTCAGGCTCTGTTGGGAGTGGGCCCCACACCTGGCCATCGCCCCGCTGGCCTGCGGCCGGAGCTTGTGCTCACTCATGTGCATGCCTGCGTGCATGCGTGCATGTGTGTGTGTGCGTGAGTGTGTGTGCATGCGCACGTGTGTGCATGCATGCGTATGTGTGTGTATGTATGTGTGCGTGTGTGATGGGTGCGCACGTGTGTATATGCGTGTGTACGTGTGTGTGCATGTATGCAAGGTGCGTGCATGTGTTTGTGTGTGTGTGTGCATGTGTGTGCGTGTACGTGTGTGCGTGAGACATCACTGCGGTGGGTGCTGCCCCCCACAGGCATCTTGAGAGGCCGGGAGAGGGCTTGCCAGCTCCTGGCCGCATCCGTGGGCACTGTGACGCCCTCTCTGTGCCAGGCAGGCCCTGGCGGTGGGCAGTGCCCTTCTTTCCTTGGGGTTGGGCCACGAGAAGCTGAGAAGGCGGGTCCCGGGGGCTGTGGCTGTCTCCAGCCCTCTGCGGATCCATGACGTCTGCAGTGGCCTCGGCGTGGCCCTTGGTGCTTGGTGCCCGGGGCTGGACGGCATCAGTCCCTGCGCCCTTAGTCACGGCCACGGGTGGTTTGGGTGCGCTGGGTGTGGTGCTCCTGGTGAGCACGTGGAGGGCCACGTGCTGTGGGTGAGTTGGAATCGGCTGCCCCTTTCCACCCGGCCTGCAGTGTCCACCCGGTGTCCTCCCCCGTAAGGAGCCTGTCTTCTCTGCCCGTGCCGCACCTTGACCGCCTCAGGCCCTGGACTGCCCAGCTGTGGTCAGCAGCTCAGCCCCGGGGTGCCTGTGGCCGGGCCAGGCTGCCCCTCCTGGCCTGGGAGACCATCCAGACAGCGCCCCCAGATGCCAGAGGCTCCAGGCGGGGTGCCGGAGGCCCGTCGCTGTCCAGCATGGCAGGACCAGGCATGAGGGGGGCAAAGACCCCTGGACATACAGCGTCCCCAGGCCTGGGCTAGACTGTGGACATGTGGGGTCCCAAGTGTTCTGGATAATGCCCTTCGGGAGGACTGGGGTGGGGGACGCCCCCTCCAGGTGCACACCTCAAGTCCAGAGGTCCTGGGTGGGGGGGGCCGGCCTTTCTCTGATCCCTGTGGCGAGACCCTCACAGCGGGCTCAGCCCTGTGCACCCGCCCCCCTGCCCCCCGGGCTCTGGGCCCTCCCCTCCAGGCTAGTGTGATGACCTTTGCGGCCCTTGTGTGGGCTGTGCTGCAGGTCTGGGCCCCAGGACAGGGTGAGGGCACCCGGGGCCCAGCGAAGGGGTTCCAGCACTCAGGCCTCTGCGTGCCCGAGGAGCACAGGCAGGGGTGGGGCAGCAGCCCAGAGCATTTGGGCAGCCCCGTTCCAGCCGGCCCCACTGCCCCCTGGCAGGTCACGGGTCCCTGCGGGTGCAGGGGTGGGCTCCCAAGTCTGGCAGAGCTGGACACCTCCCCGCAGCCTCTCGTGGACGGCAGCAGGGTGGGGCGCACGTCGGGCTCAGGGCACGGGGCTGGTTCCCCCCAGTCCATTCTAGGGGACGCGGCTCCAACCCTGCTACCTTCCTGCTCAGACACCCCCTGGCTACCCACGAGGGGCCTGGGAGCCCCACAGCACTCCCAGGGAGCCGTCCCAAGACCTGCACCTGGGCTGCCCCCAGCGGCTGGACCCAGAACACTGGCCAGTCCACTGCCGTTGGCCTCAGAGGACCGAGGGGTCTGAGCTGGCCATGAATCACGGGGTTTCCAGAGGGTGCCAGGGCCCCATGTCACGAGTGGAGCATCACGCTTCAGCCCGGGATGGAGCCTCGGCAGAGCCCGGGATTCCGGGCCCACCCATCCCCACCCCCCTCCCTGGACCCCGCCCACAGCCCCCCTTCCCAGGCCCGGCCCATCCCCGCTCCTCAGCCCAGCTGCTCTGTGCAGCCGGGTCCCTGCCAGCCCTTCACCCTTGAGGGTCACGTCTCCCAGGCACAGCGGGGCGCGGGGCACCATCTCCAGGTCTGAGCCGCAGGTCCTGGGCTGGGAACCGTCTTCTTTCTGGGCCATCGCCGGAGGCCTTTGGGCAAAGGCTCTCAGCAGGAGTGAGTCAGTGGGGGGCTTCTGCGGAGCCCGTGGCTCCCGGCCAAGCCAGCCCGTCAGCGGGTTCACGCTCATTGGGTTATGTTGGGTGAAGGACAGTGGGGAGTCCAGGAGGCAGAGGGGGCCCCCTGCCGCTCCCGATCGCCCAGCTGTCTGCCTGACGAGTGAGTGCTCCCTTGCTTTAGCTCGTGCTCCCTTCCTGAGTAATGCTCCCTCCCATTAGCGCTCCCTTCCCAAGTAGTGCTCCTTCCCGAGTAGTGCTCCCTCCCGAGTAGTGCTCCCTCCCAAGTAGTGCTCCCACCCCGAGTAGCGCTCCTTCCCCTCCGTGCTCCCTTTCCTGCTGGTGCTCCCTCCCTAAGTAGCATTCCTTCCCCTTGGTGCTCCCTTCCCTGTTGGTGCTCCTTCCCCCATGACCACTTTCAGGCTTCAGTCCATGGGCTCCGCTGGACCTCGAGACGAAGCGGTTGAATGGGGTTGGCCTCTGGGTGACGTGAGCACCCGACTGTGCCATCAGAACCCTCCTTTTCTCGTGGGTGAGACCGGCTTCCGGATCCTTCCTGCACGCAGCAAACACACCTGCACGGGGGCACGGGCACTGCTCCACATGCCAGGTTTGGGGGTTTCGGGGGCCCCGCAAAGGCCGTGCCTGGTGGGGTTCATTGTTCCCGACTGTC